ACATGTCCCAAACCCTCTGACCGTGCATCCTTTCATCCACAGAAGGAGGGCATGCTGACCTCACACAGACGTTCCACTACTGAAATCGGATTGCGTTGCTAGGCTGTGCCAGCATAGCCCAGCACTGAGTGGCCTCCATTCTCTTTGGTTGTCGCTGTCGTGGCCATGGTTCTTGTCCTCTCTAGATGGAGACCGTGAAAGGCTGCAGCTCACTTCTGCAGAGACTAAGTCACATGACAAGGTGAGGGCTTTCTTCTGCAGGGGAGCTAGGGAGCGGTGGAGATGGTTCAACAAGTGAAGAACGTACCATGCAATCATGAGGCTCTCCAGCACCCATTTCAATCCTGGGCATGTGCAGTGGCCCACCTATAAACCTTTGGGAGGCAGAAACAGGAGATCCCTAGAGCAAGCTGGCTAGCTAGACCAACCAAAGCCAACTGATGAGCTCCAGGTTCAGCAAGAGACTCTGCCTCAATACAAAAGATGAAAAAGAATTGAGGAAGATGTTCAGTATTGACTTCTGGCCTCCACACTCATGTGCACACTTATGCACATGTACCCACACACAAATGTGCACCCCAACACATGAGCACACATCCATGTGCACACAAGCTACACACACACACATGCAAAAAATAAAATAAAATAGAGGGGAACAGGAAAGGCGCAAAGCTACACAGAGAAACCCTGTCTCAAAAACCCAGAAAAACCAAAAAAAATAAATAAATAAAATAAATAAATAAATAGGGGAACGCCGAGTTAGAGCTTCGGCCCCCCTCGGTTTGAGAATAAAGACTATCTATAATTTGAGGGCTCCAAGAGCTGAGACCTGTTGCCTACTTGCTCTCTGCTGGCTTCCCTTCCACTGCTCAAGAATGTGACCAGGACTGTTCCAAGCCAAACTTCAGCCCTTCTACTGGCCCCAGACCAGCCTCCCTCCACAGCCTTTCTGGGTGATTCTGCAGGGGAACAACTGAGTGAAACCAAAGCTGTGGACAGGTCCCTGCATGGTAAAGGGATGATTCTGAGCTAAGGATAAGACCTCTACACCAGTCTCCAGAAAGAAGAGGAAAGCTGATGCTGATGCTAAGCAATGCTCGTGTGGGGTCAGCCACTCTGAGACTGCAAGTGTGGGAAGCCGGGTCTTCCCCTCCAGAGCAATCCCAGCATGGATGCCTCATATTTCCCGACACCTGCCACGTGCCACAGCGTTAATTCTGAGGCACCAAAGTTTTCATCTCTCTTCAGCTTCCCAGCAGCTCTGGGAGGTAGACATTATTTTGGCCCCACAACAGAGCAGCTGGCTCCACAGGGCTAGAGGAAACCACACCATGTCTCTGGCGCCAGTTGTTTGGGGTTTTATGGCACTGGGCCTGGAACCTAGGGCCTTCCCGTGCGCTAGGCAAGCATTCTACCACAGCGCTGCCTCCCCAGCCCAGCAGCACTCATTTTAACTCAGACACAGGGCTTTCCATTACTGTTCAAAGCTGGCAGGTCTCCTACCATAAATACAATACGTCCTTCTTAAAGAACATCTGGGAAACACAAAAGAAAAAAATTACCCACCGTCAGTCCCTGCTGGAATTCTGCAGTCATTTTCCATGCATTATTTAGAGTAATTCAGGGATCAATACAACTCTGGCTTTTGATATCACAAACATCTGCATTATTTGACATCTCCCATGAAGGCCATTTCTGATGAATGCTTAAGTATTCCATCAAGCAGATATGCTGGAATTTGCCTAACCACTTCCCTGATGTGGGACATTAAGGTTATTTCCATGCTCTCTTCAATATTCTGAATATCACTGCAGTGTGCATACTTATGCCAGGGTTTTATCTCCTCCGGGTGGATTCCCAATGGTGAGATTTCCAGGTCCTGGTTTAAGCCCATTTTCGGGCTCATTAACGGACCCTCAGAGTCCCAGTGCCTGATTCCAGCCCTTATATCCAACTGCTCTGTGATCCAAGACAAAGCCCCTCTTTGGGACATTCATTGTGTGTTTGGAAAGAATGGGACTGCCAGTATAGAACAAACGGTAGACAGATTTAACTTCTGGAAGCTGCAGACGAGATCAACCGAAGCAGCGTCTGTGCCACCTGCACACCCTGGCCGCACCTTCCCCGGCACATTTGGTCTCTCTGGAGTCCACTGCACGCTGCTTAGCAAAGCATCTGCACGAAAGTCTGTAATTTCCTCCAGATGGAAAGGCTTAGTAACAGATCCCTCCAAAGCAAAGGGAAAGTCGACGGAGGGACCAGAAACAAGGCACTGGCCTAGGCATGCCTTCTTAAAGGAATGTCACGGTCCTGCAGCTGAGGATGCAGCACCAGAATTACCACTGCACCAGCTGATCCCACGAGCCCCAGCCATCATCTGGCCTAAAACGGGCTCATCAGATTTCTGCTTTCAAGACTCTAGAGTTGGGATCCAAGACCCTATGGAGATCAGATCTACGTGGTTACAAGAAGTAGGAGGAGGGCCAACACTGTGGCTAATGGTCAGTGTAGTGATGTCACTGTTGCCAAGGAGCCCAGGACGGTGGTATAGGGAGGAGCAAGGCAACAATCCAGAAAGAACTAGAGACATCCTCACATCTCAGTCGCTGTGAGGAATAGCTGTACCTTAGTCCCTGTCCTGGGGAGCCTAGGAACTTAATGATCATGACTTACAATACCCACCACACCTTAACCTCACCAGTCCTCGAGGTAGCGTGCCTGAGAGCTTTCTAGCCAGAGCAACTGGAGAACTCGTTAGGGAAGTTTTGGAAGGCAGATATTCAGATCAACGAACAGGAGAGGGATGAAACCAAGAGTAGCAACAAGTAAACCTTTGGACACTCCCGTATCTGTCCCTACAGCCTCCTCCACAGTGTCTGGATAAGGCCAGACGCCAGGAGCAAAGGCTCAGTCAGCAAAACTTTGCTCAGCAGCCTCCTACAGAAGGTGCCTTTTTCAAGATGGCCCATGCTGGAGGGGCACAGGATGCACATGCCTCTGTCATGATGCCGAGTCTTTGGCTGACATTGGTGGGACATGCTACACATGCATTCTCTGCTGAGTCCTTCTGGCTTGTATGCCATGCTTACAGAGGAGACTTGGAAATAAGGAAAGGCTGGGGGATAGCTTCGTGTAGAGTCGTGTACTCAGCACACTCTAGACAGAACCCAGGGTTCCATCTCCAGCACCAAAACAAAGAGAGAGGAAGAGCGCAAGACAGGAACTGAAAAACAAAACAAAACAAAACAAAACAAAAGGTCCTCCTTCACCCAGGACCAGCTATGGCCTTACATAAAAATGTCCTCTTGCCAAGTGCAAGGGAGTCAATGCCTGGAAGACAAGGCAGGAAGCATTCAGAAGTCCTGTCTTCGGAGCTTGGAAATACACACACACACACACACACACACACACACACACACACACACACACACACACACACACGAGACCTTGAGGCCTCTGCTTCCCCTGGCTCCCAGCCCAGGAGAGTGCCAAGAGCAGGTGTCCTCTTCCTCAGGCTCCCCCACCCCTTGAGTGAATTTCCAAATGCTAGTTTAGTTATGAAGTCTGGTTACTTAATGTTTGTTAAAGTGTGGAAGACCTTTGCTCCCAAATTCCTGTTGAAATATGAAACACGAACAGTGCTGGGCCAGGAGTCAGGAGTCAAAGGGGCTTCACGTCGACTCCAGGGATACCATTTTGCCTCTCCACCTCGTCTCTCCAGCGGTAAAGCTGTGAGACGCTGCCTTTCTTTCTCACAGTCACATATGCCAGGTGCAGGAGTTTCCTGCAGGGGAATCTGCATCATCAGACATTCTTGGGAGGCCACCCACAAGCATGGGTGCACACCCCAACTCAGCAGGTAGATTCTGAAGTTCAGGAAGAAACGTTGGCTCCCAGCAAAGTCGCACTGAAAAACCCAGGACCTTGTGACCCTTGAAGTACTGCTTCCCAGACGGTCCTCCATCCCAAGCAGGGTCCCCACCCCAGTGTTCTCCAGAGTGTTAATAACCACCATGAAGAGAACTCAAAAATCTCCCAACTCAAAATTTGAAAAAACTCCTAGAAGACACATTATAGGACATAGTTGTTCTAAGTAGTTGCAGAAATAAAAATTAAGAAAAACACATTATTAGAGAGCAAATGGGAGGCTCGAAGTTAAGAATGTTCTGATAGCCGGGTAGCAGTGGTGCACACCTTTAATCCCAGCACTCGGGAGGCAGAGCCAGGTGGATCTCTGTGAGTTTGAGGCCAGTCTGGTCTACAAAGCGAGTTCCAGGAAAGGCGCAAAGCTACACAGAGAAACCCTGTCTCGAAAAACCACACCAAACCAAAACAGAATGTTCCGATACGCAAGCTGGCGGTCCAATGATGGACTCCCCATCATAGAGGGAGCCAAACTCAGAGCGAGGGCTGGGGGGCTGCACTGGAGATTCCTTAGTAAGTCTCAAAGGTCCATCCAGCCCCAGATCCCACTAAACAGAACAGATGGTAGGACAGCTCAAAAGCGTGGAGAATCACAGAGCAACAGTAGCCAGCAGCCTTTGTACTTGAAAGAAGTGCACTGACAGCCAGTGACGCTATGGCTTTACACCACTGGTCATAAGTACACTCACCGAGCACCTAAGCCTAAAGGTAGATGGGGCTGAAAGCAGAAATAGGTTCAAAGCAGCTTAGTGGGATGACTATTCAACCCAACACAGGCACGCAAAGGCAGGGACAAGGGCGTGACAATGTCCACAACAGACTGCGGGCACAGTTGCGAACACACCCACCCCCGTGACACCCTGCCACCAGCAGCAGCATTTACAGCTGGATGAACTAGGACCCTTTCAAACTCTTGCCTGGAGAAGTGCCACACACAGACTTCCTATAGAAAGGTCTGGCCTTCGATGCCCAGAACCTTTCATGCCAGTGGGAAGTATGAACCCAAGGTCAGGGCCACTGACTCCATCCCACCACCCCCCCCACAGGGTGGGTATCAACCCACATGTGTAACTCACAGTCGAGATAGAGCTTGGTTGTTCTGGAACAGTAGTTCAGGCAGCACGTGCAGCTGGTTGCGGTTCAATCGTCTAGAAAAGGAAACAGGAGAGGTGGGAGTCACCTGAGTGTTCAGGAGATGGCAAGGATGCTCTCAGAAAGCCCTGCATTCAAAGTCACAAGGCCCGGGATCTGAGTCCCAGTAGGACCAGAGCAGAACCCCCAAGGCATCTTCTCTAAGACGCAGCTCATCTGTGAGTGGCCACTTCCTATCCAGACCAGGGAAGATATGCCCTCAACTAAACAGCAGAGCAACCTTCCCTGATTGTCCCTTTATGATCCATCAAGACCTGATCCCCAGATAATCCCAGGTGTGAGTTGGATCCTTGACCTTATGAAATGGGTGATATGAGGTAGGGTGGCTAAACATCACAGATCTTACTGTTTGGTCCATGCTTGCCTAGGCAGCATCGGTTTCTGTTTATCTGGCTGCTTGCGTTTTTCCTTTGTTTTCATTTTTATTTTTTTTTTTATTTTATTTATTTTTTTTAGGTTTTTTTGAGACAGGGTTTCTCTGTGTAGCTTTGCGCCTTTCCTGGAACTCACTTGGTAGCCCAGGCTGGCCTCGAACTCGCAGAGATCCGCCTGGCTCTGCCTCCCGAGTGCTGGGATTAAAGGCGTGCGCCACCACCGCCCGGCTCATTTTTATTTTATTATTTGCTCGGTTCTTTTTTTTTTTTCAAAATGAAATTAGCAACTGTTAATATTATTAATGAAAATGAATGCTTTCAGTGAGCATGGAAGTGCATGCGTCTAATTCCAGCACTTGGGATGCTGAAGCAGGAGGATCACCATGAGCTACATAATGAGTTCCAGGACAACCTGGGGCAGACTGAGACCATATCTCAAAAGAGGGGAAAAATTAGATAGATAGATAGATAGATAGATAGATAGATAGATAGATAGATAGATAGATAGATACAGATAGGTAGAGAGCGAGAGAATGCTTGCTTAAAAACCGCGGGCACTGGGCATGGTGGCGCACAACTTTAATCCCAACACTCCAGAGGCAGAAGCAGGCAAATCTCTGTGAGTTTGAGGCCAGCCAGGGCTACACAGAAAGACCCTGTCTCAAAACAGCAAATAAATACACATATAAAAATCAAAATAGAAAAAAACCCTCAAATTACAGGAAAAAAGATACTCGAACACTGGTGTGTCCCTTACTTGGCCGTATTTTCCTTGCCACGCAGTAGAGATTTTATCTCAGTGCTGAGGGGTAAATCCAGGCCTCATGCACGTGAGGAAAATGCTAGAACACTGAGCTGCACCCCAGTCACGCTTTCATTTTTAAATACCTCAGGTATGCTTTCATAGTTTTCAATATTCTAGGGCAGTGGTTCTCAACCTTCGTAATGCTGCGACCCTTTACTACAGTTCCTCGTGTTGTGGTGACCGCCAACCATAACATTATTTTGTTGCTACTTCATAACTGTAATTTTGCTACTGTTATGAATCATAATGTAAATATCTGATATGTAGGATGTCTGAGATGCGACCCCTGTGAAAGGATAGTTTGACCCCCACCGGGGTCATGACCCATAGGTCGAGAACTGCTGTCCTGGGGGCAGGTGGGAGCAGCGCTGCACACACAGGCAGGAGCCAGAAGTCTGGGTCTGGAAGCTGCCTCATGGGGAGACAGCATCAAAAGGACCCAGACCTGCTGTGGGAAGACTTGCTGTTCCAAACTTAAGCAGCTAACTCCTTAACACAGGAGTCTCGAGTGCAGCAAAGGATGCTAACTTTTGAGAAACTATAGCAGATGATGGTATAAATTAAAAAAAAAAGATGAGAGACTCTTGCCACACAGTCTCCAGCACGGCGAGTTACACAGAGGTCGCCCCCAGGAGATTCTTTCACTGCGATGAGCCAGCTCAGCAAAAAAAAACCTTCTAGAAGGAGAGGAAGAGACTGAACACCACACAACCCACAGGAACTCATCCATGGTTACCTCCTCTGAGGTTGTCTTTCATCTGATATGTGAGAAAGGCTGTTGTCACCACACTGGGGACCGTCATGTGCCAGCACAGGACAGACATCAGATTTACAGCGTTAGGAGACCAATTGGAAGAAACCGACTTTAAAAGGCAGGCTCCTAGGGAAACACATCGTTGGCTTGGGGAAAAAAAAAGGACCACCAGTGTAAACCTTAAAGCAACAAGAGCAGACATCGGATCCTCCCAGTCCCTTATCCCCAGTCCAATAAATTAATCCAGTATTTACACTGCCTGGTAATTGCTAGGTTTAGTTTTGTTTTGTTTTCTCCCAAGACTTTCTCATTTTTCTGGCTTTAATTTTTGAAAACATTCAGAAGGAGGAAGGGAAAGGAAAGGAATTCAACAACTCATTTAAAGTGGAAAGCCAAAGGACGCTAAAGGAGTGAGCCACCGTAGTGAGAGACACACGGGTACCTCAGAATGACAGCAGCTGAGTGCCACTCAGCCTTTCTGAACTCCAGACACCAAGGCAGATGTTCCTAGCCATCACCCCATAGGTCAGAAGCAGAGGGAAGGTGGGCTTTCTCCTCTCACCCAAGCACCCCCAGAGGTAAACGTTTAAGGCCACTAGCTTGCCACATAGCGTGGCTCTTCTCGGGTGCCCACGATTGGCTCGCTGACCTCATTGAGTTGCCTTCTGGAGAGCTGAGGGAATTTTGATGCCAAGAGGGAAGTGATTTATCCAAGCACTCTCTGGGCTGATGCAGGCTGCTGAAGCTTGTATTTCTACAGCTCCTATCCTGGCTCTCATCCCCAGAGCTGACCTCCCAGGCAACTGAGCATGCTCTGTGACCTCTATGCAACAGGCCAGCTCAGGCCACGGCTCAGACCCCCTGACTGCCAGCGCCTCACACTGCTGCTTCTGAACACACTTTCCCTAACTGCTTGTGAGAACCAGCTCTGTCTGCTCTCAGATTTGTTTATGCCACAGGTACTTAGAAGCAGGATTATGTGATTTAATCAATTTCATTCACAAATAAATGAAATGCCACGGGGAAGAGAGTCATCTATATGAAAATTACGTTGGCTGCTTTGGGAAGATCTTAGAAAAAAGGGAAATCTGTCGGTTGAAGGGCTGTTGAATTCAGTAAAAAGATTTAATTCTCAATCCAAATTGCTTCCAAGGTGCTGAAAAAAAAAATCTCATCCTACCTTCAAGAAACCCAAACAAACAAACAAAAAACAACACACGATTTGTGTGTGTGGTTTGGGTGAATAAAGCCATACAGAACCCCAGTCACTGTGTCATACTAAAGGGAACAGAGAAATTCTTGGGGGGTGGGGGGAGGCTGGGAAAGGGGCCAATAAATGCACATTTCCATTTTAATTGAAAACGCTACGTTCACAGTCTGGGTGTTTTTATTCTGGCTCCCCACTTCCACCAGCTTTCACAAACCAATCCCCAAGGTCTCCCACAAATCAGAGCAGATGGCCACTGCTCGCTGAAGGGGTGCACAGAGCATACCTGACACCCCCAGAGACAGAAAACCTGTCTGCTGGGAAGCGGCTGGTGACCCAGCCCGGAGACACGGAGCCGAACGTGGACAGAAGGGACAAGGTCTGCAGTGAGTCGTGACTGAGAGGAAGCCTCTGCCAAGCCTCAGGTGTGGCAGCAGCAGGGCCATGCCTTGTCAAGTCTAGACCCCCTCCCACCCACCTTCTCGTCTCCTCCAAGGCCAGGCAGCACCAAAGCCCCGGGGTGTGGAGTGGATTAGATCCAAGCGAGCCGAGCCGCTCAGAGCCAGGTATTTTATTGTCAGAGTTTTAAGGAAAGCGAACACAGGAGTGAACATCTGGCCAGGTACTGGATGGCTGACTGCTCAGTTTAAGGCTGGGGGTGGGGTAATCTTCTGCAAGAAGACGATGAGGCACACATGCCCTTTCTCTTTGTTTAATGCTTTGTTTTCTTTGACATAAAAATGAAAGGAGAGAGATTAATTAGGTCCTACTCATTAAGAGTCTAAGCTTTGAAGGCAAACCAATCTGGTTCTAATCCCCTCTTCTGCACATGTGGCTTAGCCCCTAGGCACCTCGGTCTCTCCTCTGCGGAATGCCACTTGCAGGAACGTTATTGCGGGTTAGATGACACACTACGGGGCCAAGGGCTTCACCTTGCACCTGGCGGCGGAAGGCACTCAGGACTGGCTGTGATGGCCGTAGAAATTCATTGTGAGAAAATCGAGGGAGAAAGAGAAGAAAAGAAACACAAAGAACCAAACTCAAGTACCCATTGCCTCAGCTCGCCATGTAATTAAGAGCTAATGGTCTCGACTGCTTTATTCCTCTACTACACTCTCTGTCTCTGTCTCTGTCTCTCTCTCTCTGTCTCTGTCTCTCTGTCTCTGTCTCTCTCTCTCTGTCTCTCTCTCACTGATTTTGTTTATACAAACATCACTTCCTGCCTTTTCTGCCTAATTCACATTGTGAGCACATCCCAGGGGTGTTGACAGCATTTCAGTCTTGACTGTATCTTATTTCCCTCCACCCAAATGGCTATTTCTAATTTTTGGTAATTTGCAAAGAATATCCAGAAATATGAATTTCTTGCCATTTTTCTAGTCAGTTTCTTAATACAAAATGAACTTTCTGGTCAAAGAGCATGAACTTTGGGACTCCCCCACCCAACATCTTCATCCAAACTGTTTTGCAGGACCAAGCGGTTGACCACCATAAAGAGAGGAATTGACCACCATAAAGAGAGGAGTTGACCACCATAGAGAGAGGAGTGCCCCCCCATCTTCAACCCCCCCCCAGGTCCTTTTCCTTTTCATTGTCACCAATGTGAAATACAGAAAGTTCACCAGGACCCTGTTTCAAAACTGAAAGCCCCACTCAGGAGCAAGCCTTGCAAACTCTGAGTGTGCCTCTATTTCCTCGTGCTGGGCTGTGATAGCAAGCCTCAGGTCTGGGGACTCCCCTGGTAGTTCTGCTCAGCACACCAGTGACCTCCTTTATGAACCCAAAGTCAATGAATGGAAGCCACACCTCAGGAAAGATGGGTGGAAGGAATTCCAGTTGTGTGAATTTTTGCCATCACATGTTTTGGACTAACAGCAGGGGTGCACTGTGAATGGGAATGGAGGTTGGTTTCATTTTTCTCTTGATTAGCATCTCACAATGCTCTATCGGGCTGGGACCCACCCTCCCCCTACCTCAGTCCTTTCTATAGGCCTGCTGACACCTTCTCTGGCAACCCCAGAACCCTCCCCAGCCTACGCCCTGTACTCACAGCCGCTCCAACTCCTTCATGTCATCAAAAGCTCCGCGTTCCACGGCTCCAATTTGGTTCTCCATCAGCTGCCTGGGAGGCAAAGAGACATAACAGCTTCAGGATGCTAAACAAGTGTTCCTGGGAACCCCAATGAGCTTTGCCAGGGCAACGTGGCCTCACGAAGGGGACCAGAGCCTTTCCCAGGCCCCATGTAGATCCTAACTCCAGCTGAAGTGGTCACAACTTCCCAAATTCCCCCATTCAGGTTCCACAGCAAGCCCTGTCTGGCAGAGCGGCACAGTGCTAGTGCTCACAGCTGTGCTTGAAGAAGGTGCTAGGCATCTGGGGCACATGCTGTCCTTTGGCCCAGAGCATGAATCCAAGAGAAAATGGCCAGCATGGCGGAGGAAAGCCATGCCAACTGGGCAGAGCCCACACACATAAGCAAGAATGCTACAATTGCCAGACAACACCCCCACTGTCTGCACCATAGTCCACCTAGGCCATCTGCTGAAGAAAGGAGGAGGGTGCCCAGGCCAACCAACCACCTGGCTCCACGGGACTCTGCATCTTCCCCCGCAACATGCTCTGCTTCAGAGCATCTGACTGGTGGGTAGCATTTTTCACTAAGAGATGGGATGCTGTGTGATTATTTTGGAGATATTGAAGTAATTTTTCTCCTGTGTTCTCTCTTCTCCACTCCCAAGCAGATGGATTGCATGTCCCTGCATGGGCTTCAGGCAGGGGTTGAGGCAGGGCAGTATACTTTTCTCTCTGCTAGAGGCCTGGGGGAGGAGTCCCGGGAAGAGAGGAGGACTCCCCAGAATGGGAAGAGGAAAGTTTTGGTCAATGTGGGTCAGTTCTGGAGCAGCAAAGACTCCAGTAACTCATTGCCCCCAACCTCAAAGTGGATAATCCACAAGGTCCCCCACTCACCCCAAAGATCCCCCAGAACTGTGAAGTGTACAATTCTGAACCCTTGTACTATCCTGAGTGGGAGGTGAGGGACTCTGCACATGTGATTGGGGGGGGGGGGGTTCCTGCCAGCCAAATGGGGTAGGGCCTCCAAATCTAACTGAGGTGGGAGGGTCAGGTGCCTGCGTGTCAAGGCTGCCCCTACTCCCCAAGATCAGCAGAGCACAGAGGGATGGAGATCCAATGCGAGCCTCTCAACTCTGCCCTGCCTGGCAGGCACTATGGGTGGCCTGCTGCTTAACAGGGCTGTGCCTGCCACTTCCAGGATCTCCGCTCTCAGACACCCCTGAGTACAGTTACACCACCTGTCTTCTGTCCTCTGCATGACCCTCTTGACAAGGGCCTGTGACCTCGCTGAGGAGTCCTTCTGAGGCAGAACACTGGAGATGGTGGGCTGCACTGTGTTCTCCACCCCTCCATCTGAAACACTGTATTCTCCACCCCTCCACCTGAAACATTGTGTTCTCCACCCCTCCACCTGAAACACTGTGTTCTCCACCCCTCCATCTGAAACACTGTGTTCTCCACCCCTCCATCTGAAACACTGTGTTCTCCACCCCTCCACCTGAAACACTATATTCCACCCCTCCATCTGAAACACTGTGTTCTCCACCCCTCCATCTGAAACACTGTGTTCTCCACCCCTCCATCTGAAACACTGTGTTCTCCACCCCTCCATCTGAAACACTATATTCCACCCCTCCATCTGACATGTTGACTCCAATGCCCTGTATTATGTGTTTGGAGGTAGAGTTGTCAGGGACAGTAGTAAAGTGGTTTGGTAATCTGGGTGGGCCCTGATACCCAGGGATTAGTGAGTCCTCTCTGCGTGCTCACAGAGCCAGGCCATGTGAGGTCACAGAAGTGAACAGATGCCTGATCAGGATTGATCCAGCACCTCATCCTCCAGAACCTGAGCAAAGCCTATCTATCTGTGGTTTAGGTTGCCCATGGTGTTCCACCAGAGCAGGCTGACCTAAGCAGAAACGTATAGACTCTCCGTGCCACCTGCTCTTCCCTCAGCCCCAGAGAGAGAAATGGCCAAGACTGCCCCTCCCAAGTCCCTCTCCATCCCCCATTCTTTCCAGCCATGTAGGAGGCAATAGCCCCTCTGGGTCAAGATGCTCAACATCACCCCCTCCACCCACTCAGGAAGCTCCTGACTCCACAACAGAAGGCCTGAGCTAGCTTGTAACTCTCAAACTGCCAAGTTTGGGGTGAGGAGAGAGGCAGATGATGGGAACAGCAGCCCATACTCACAGCACTCGAAGCTGTTTGAGCCCAGCGAAGTCATTCTTATGGATCCGAGTGATATTGTTGCCATTGAGCTCCCTGGCAGAGAAAGGGGAAAAGGAACTGGTGAAATGGGTGGTCTGGGCCCCTGGGGCTCAGCTCAGGCTCCCCTCCACCTGGCTCAGCTCAAGCCCCTCACCCTCCCACCCAAGAAGTCCAACAGGCCAGAGCCTCTCTGTAGCCCACATTCCTGCAGCAGGAACAGTAAACATGGCTCAATGCTGGAGGCTGCAGAAACCCTCAAACATGACTCCACTTCTGGGGACTCAGCCTAGACAGAGCGATAAGTCAGAGGAGAGAATCTGGAAATAGGCCATGGCTGGAGCATTCAGGGGCATCCTAGCCAAGCCTCGGAATCTCTACCCATAAAATGAAGGGCACCAACTGTGACCGTCTCATAGGATTCAGACCAGCATAAACAGGTAAAGACCGTGGCTGCCCTTGGGGACACTGCAGTATTATCATGGGTGGCAGGAGAAGCAGGGGAGGGTCATGCAGTTCAGGGTCACTGAAGAAGTGAGACTTGAGCTGAGTACCACAAGACAAGAAGGCCTGCCTGGAGGAGGCATGGAGCAAACTCAAGGAAGAGCCCACTGAGTCAGCCCAACTCTGAGAGAAGGAGAGACAGACTGAGGGTTGGGGGCTGTGGGCCCAAGCAAACACAGTGTCTGAGAAAGCAAACAGAGAAACAGCAAAGAGCCAGCAAAGGACTCACACGGGAACCCATGAGGCCATTCCTGAGGCAGCTAGCAGGGGGGCATGGCCAAGGAGCCTGATGCCCTATCCCCAGGGGCCAGACCTACTGATGCTGTGGCTCCTCCTCTCACACCACCCTGGGTGTCTGCCCTGTCCTCCCTTCCAAGGTCACATCTTCCCTTGGCCCACCTACAGAAACTAGACCAGATCCTGGTCTGCGCCCTCATTGACATGCTAGACACAGACCCCATGTCAGAGGCCATATGGCCCTTTCCCACCCAGCCCCCTAGTGCTCTCTCAGTCTACCAGCAATTCCCAGAGGACCTGCTCAGCCTCGGGAAGTCAGGCCACTCCAAAGGGCAAGTTAGCAGAAATTTTCAGTACCAGAAAGTTCTTGTACTGCCTGAGCCACCGCAACACACATTCAGCTCCCTCCAGCATCGAATCCATCCCTGAGGCAGGAGTCACACTGACTCCTCTTCCCCACCACTGTCACCATCACCTGCATGCTCTTCATCAACCTAAATGCCCCACCCCAACACACATGTGTAGAATATTATTTTAAGATGTGTTACATTTGTCTATGCTCTGGAACATTTGTTTAGTGATGCAAAGATGTGTTGCATTCTTTTATGTCGCATTTGTTTAACTCTGTGAAGCTGTGTTACTGTACCTGTTTAAAACACCTGATGGTCTAATAAAGAACCAGATGGTCAATAGTGAGGCAGGAGAAAGGATAGGCGGTGCTGGCAGGCAAAGAGAATAAATAGAGAAATCTTGGAGGAAAAGAAAAAAGAACAAGAGAACAAGGAGAGGTGAATACTAGGGGTCAGCCACCCAGCCACACAGCCAGCCATGGAGTAAGAGTGAAAGTAAGATACACAGAAGTAAGAAAAGGAAAAAGCCCAGAGACAAAAGATAGATGGGATAATTTAAAGTTAAGAAAAGCTGGCAAGAAACAAGCCAAGCTAAGGCCAGGCATTTATAATTTAGAATATGTCTCAGTGTGTGATTTATTTGGGAGCTGGGTGGTAGGCCCCCCAAAAGAGCAAAAACAACCAACTACATTTTTGTGTACCAACATGAGGCTCAAATATCTCTGGGGCCTGAGAAAGCTGAAAAGATTAAAAAAAAAAAAAAGATATGGCTCCTTTAAGAAACCCCACTGTACAGCAAAGCACTTAAACAGCTTCTTTGATGCTAAATAGAAATAAAAAAAACTATGTAAAAAATGTCTGCCACAGTGCAGGGCACCAACATTCCATAGCTGGGCGGTTGAATGCGGTTCTAGGTCAAACCTCCAAACAGGCCACAAGCTTTAGGCTTGGCTCTCATGAACCTAGAAGCAAGCAGAGCCAGTCAAGAGAGCAGCATGGAGGATCCAGGTGTAGCTTAGCAGTCAAAAGTTTGCTCCTGTGGTCAAAAAAGACTAGGGATACGCAGTAAAGCAGGTTCAGATAGAAAAATCCTCTAAAAAGCTTCCAGTGTGTTTTACAATGTGTGTAGGCGAAAGAAAGGAAGGAAGGAAGGAAGGAAGGAAGGAAGGAAGGAAGGAAGGAAGGAAGGAAGGAAGGAAGGGAGAAAGAAAGAAAATGTGTATAGACAGTCATAGAAAGAAATAGTTTAAAAAATAATAAAATAAAGTCTTTAAAGAGAGAAGTAAAATAATAAAAAAGAAAAAGTCCCATAGCAATGGGAAATACTCAAGGAGTCTGGATCCTGTATGTTATTGTGTTGATTTTGAACTTTTTGATGGCTGATGGGCAAGAGACAGCTTGGGGTTGTGAGCAGGACTGCAGGATTGAGCCAACCTAGAAACTTTAGGAATGCCTTAACTTTAAAAAGAAGTCATGGCCATGAGCTCAAACCAAGTCCAAGACACTTTGTCCTGGAGTGTGTTGAGAGGCATGTGGTCTAAACAATGATCCATAGTTGCTTCCCCTAAGAACTGTGTGTGTTGTTTGCTTCCACATGCCCAGGAAGCTAGGTGCTCACCTGAGTTGCCATTATGACCATTTGACAGATGGGGAAAGAACAATTCTCAGGTGCTGAGTGAACTCCCAAGGGCAACAGTTGAGAGGTGACAGAACCCATAACCATGATCTTCTGACCCTAGGGTCCAGGCTGCCAATCAAAGCTGACAAGCCAGTAATTCATTTGACTCATCACTCTGTGCCTGGGACTCTCTGTCTCCATCCTATTTATAGTAGGATTGGAGGGGGCTTCAGTGATGTCCCAAGTTGCCAGGCCATGGGCAAGTGCCCCAGAACAAACCCCTTCCTCATTCTAACTGCTGAGAAACATCTTCCTGTGACAGGGGCTCTCATCAACACCAAGGCTTTATCTTATTAATCTAAGCATTCTTTCCTGGAAAGGCCACCAATCTGTACCTTCTGCAACACAACTTTTCTTCAAACCTTGGGACCATCTTCAGGAACTCTTGCTAACTGGCTCTGATGGCAGCTAACTGATGGCAGTATGTCAGCCTTCCTTTGAGCCATCATGAAGGGACGTTCAGCCACAAGCCCCATAGCACAAGGTAGTCTTGGTAGTTCATTTTCTCATTATAAAGGTACATCTTTGTTGGTTCATAGTGACAAAAATGTTAAAACAACTGTAGTGAAGTGAGAATGTGTCCCATAGGCTCATGAGCACATGATTCTCAGTGGGTAGCACTGTTTGGGGGATTATGCAACCTTTAGTAGGTGCAGCCTTGCTGGAGGAAGTATGCTTATGGGGGTGGTGGGCTTTGAGGGTTCACGACCTCACCCCACTTTCAGTCTCCTCTCTGTGCGTGCATGGAGATGTGATCTCTCAGCTTCCTACTCCAACCACCTGCCGCCATGCCTTCCCTCCCATTGTGGACTCTCCCTCTTGACTCCTAAGTCAAAAGAGACCTTCCATAGGTCTCTCTAGGTCACGCTATTTCAGCACATCAACAGAGAGGTGACTAATAGAACCCAAATGGTCAGTCGTAGAACCAATGCTTGCTTGAATTTCAGCACATCCAGAAAATCCAGTACACGCTGTGAGCTACAGACCTGCCTGATGACAAAGAGAGCTGCCGTGGCACAGACCGTGGCAGCGGGTTACAAGACAGCCTGTGTTCCACGGAAGCCACTTATGTGCTCGCTGTACATTCACACGCATGCATAGATCTGTGCAGAGTAGGCACTGAGTCTGGGGCCCCATGGTCATAGCTATGACCGATAAATAGTAAGAAAGAAGAAGACTTCACTGTCTTTTCAGCTTACTTCTCTGCACTTTAAGTTTTATAAGCCAACACAGTATCCAATTTATTTTATTTAAAAATTTTTACTAAAAAAGTAATTTAAAAAAATTAAAAATTAGTGACATACAAATACTCTTTTCAAGTTCCTGGAAAAGAAAGAAAAAATGAAAACCACATATCACTAAGAATAACCACTAGGGAAAATCCCCAAGTCTGTTTTCTTTGGATACAATGCTTATCTAGCTGAGGTAACCTCACGAGTGCTCCGGGAAGATTCCTGAGGCCGTGTTAGAAGGCAGCTGACTGTATTCCCAGCGCGCAGCTGACAAAACCCAGGAAGACAAACGCTAGGACTTTTCTGCCTGAGACAGGGCCAACATGGAACTCGGGAAGCCCCGAGCACAGAACTCCCACTGAGGCAGGTGGAGTGGACTGGCAGGCAGGAACTCCTGATTATGTCTGGCACCTGTCTCCCCTTTCACTGAGATGCGGTGGGTGCACTGGGCCACACACTTCCACCCAGTCCCTCCTCCTCCTCACTTCCTACCCAACACTCCATCACCGTGTGAAAAGAGACTGGCCAGGCAAGGAAAGGAACTATGGCTCATACATCAACACGAGTACAGCCTCTTTCCCAGGAGTCCCTGCTGGTGCTTTCCAGGCCTCACCCTGCCCCACATACTGAGTGAGAGTGAGGACTCTCAGTGGCCAGATCTTAGTGCCCCCCTCTCTAGGGTGAACCCCTTTCTTTCCCAGGTCTGAGGGCAGCTGCAACTTAGAAACATCATATAGGCCTTAGCAGAGACATGACCTTCCCAAGGTCATCAAGCCCTTGCCTCAGCAGGGCAACCATGGCCTCTTGATAGAATACACAGCATCAGGGCCTCTATTCCTCCAACACGTAGTCCCAGAGTGTTGCCGTGGAGACCTTCTCCCAGAAAACACACTTCTGGGACCCCTCCAAGACCACTACAGTATGCCCAAAACAGCAGCTTTCTCGGCCTCTGGGCTCAGAGAATTCAGGATCTAGGCTAACCTGGGCTCCCCAACACTTTGCCACTGAGGCCCACACCCGCCACTCCTCCTTACTGGTTCCTATGAGGTTTCTATT